ATTTGACTTTATAAAGCTATAGTTTTTGACTTTTCTAAACCAAAACTGTTAGCTCGTTTGGAAGTTTTAAGCCAACAGATTTGGTTTGTTTTCACCTAGCTATTAACCGAATTTTATTATTTATTTTTGCCAAACATTTGTTACAGTGTTCTGTGAAATAGTATAAACAATACATTGGAGTATATCGTAGTGAATATCATCAGAAGAAACCATTATATCATTTATGTGTTCAAAAAGGAGAGGACTTTAATTAAAATCGCATTAAATGTGAAGACATTGCGAGAGAAGAAAAGGCACAATCTTTTCGGTCACTAATGATTGTCAGAAACAAGTTATGCCACAAAACAATATATTTTGAATTGAGACCAAAATTGCATGCATTATACAATCTCTACACTATTTTTAAGTTGAAATATATTTCTATACAAAACAAATGCAATGTTTGCCGAAACCAATCAAATAAATAGAGCGAACACTTGAGCCAAACACTGGTTATGCCTAACAATTGAATAGTTGTGGCAAAAAAGTGTAACTCATATATGATTTAACACTAATTATCAATGAATACATTTTAGGAATCGTTTTGATTAAAAATACATTTAGTCATAACTTAACCTTATATTCAATTAAATAAATTTATAGTCAATTTTTTTTCAAATCAAATATTCAAACAATTTTGTGTTTTAATCTAATTTTAATAAAATTAAACAAAAATATATCTAAACTCTGTTTAAAACCAATTGTTGACTCAATTCACTCCTTAACTAAACATAAAACTGAATGACTTTCTGATAAATTTAAAAATAGACATTATTTTAATTGCTATTAATTCATATGTAAATATCAACTAAGAATTTAAGGATTTATTTGGTTATAAATAATGATAAGTGTTTTCATTAATTGTCAACAAAACTAAGATCTAAATTCCTGTCTAAAATACAATATTGTTTGTAATGTTAAACATATACTCAATTACTTATCATTGGATTAAATATTTCCTTAAAATACTCATTGTTTTCGTAATTGTTTGCAATAATTCTGGGAAACAATACAAATATAATTGTATTTAGTTTTAAATATTTCAATCATATATTCAATTATATGTATAACTGATTGCAATCAATATATGCTATCAAACAATGATAACAAAAGTAAACAATTATTTATCAAAAAATTATCTGAAATCCAAAATTAATATTTGGATCCATTTTGAAGAAGAGCTCTCATGTGATGTCCAGAAATGTATGCAATATATAGATTGCGAGAATGCAGTCAATGTAATCATAATGAATGGTAAGTGAATGAGTGAATCAATGGATGGATGTATACCCCGATAGAGACACAGTCTTCGGTGTTTTGCGGGTATTTGACGATGAATTTGGATCCGGCCTTCTCTTCGCTGTCATTGAGTGGTCGGAAACGACAGACGACTTTGATATTACACTCGTTGGCATCGATTGATGACATCTTCAACACAATGGCGGACACAAACACTTCAACAACACATAAGACAACAGCACTGACGACAACACCGATCAATGGGTGGATGTGTTGTGGCGATGGTTTGCTTGTGTCGGTTGTGGCGGTGATAGCGATGGTCAACACAACTCACTCTTCACACCAGTAATGGTAGACATGTCTCACAACTGTATATCAATTGAACACTCAGTCAGTCATACACTGAATGGATCAGAGATTGCACTCCAATTGCACTACACTTACGCTCAACACAATCACACCCTTCTATGCCATACACTGACTCATACAGACTGTACAACACGTTAGCCACACAACACACACACTATGCGTACGCCTAGAGATATACGCCTAAAATATGCCCAAATTATGCCATATTCTCAATACCATTAACAATGTGTCCATTGTATTGATTTAATCACTAAAGTAGTTGAGATTAACCATTAAATTTAGTTACCCAAGCATTTAAGCAATTCTATCATTACTATAAGTTGTACTAATATACTGTATAACGTGTGACCGGGCTAATTTCTTATTCTGTGTTTTAATGATAATATTACTGTATAAATAAATATAATTAACATTCTTCATAAGATTGCAATTTAATTTATATTAATTTACATTGACAAATCAATTTTAATTCTTATTTGCATAATGTTAATTCTATGAAAACGTTGAATTAGTAAATCTTAAGTATTATAAATGATTTCACTGTCTGTTTACCGTGGCTTTATCAATTTATATTTATGCTATTTTAAATTCTATGCTTTCATCTTTAAAACAAAACTAATTTGACTAAAATCAGTTGGGTATTTTTAAATGCAAGCCAATTTACTTTCTGTGTAAATGCGTGGTCAAATATTACATAGTTTAGCATTCTTTATGAGCAAGAGCGCTTAAACTTACAGTTATACATTACGCATCACCATAGGATTTACACATATGTGTAAATTTTAAGCACTCATGTTCATGAGTATTGTTTTTAGGCATATTAAATCGCTTTAATAAGTGTTAACAGTAATTTCACTTAATATTAATCAACCGGGTCAAATTATTTATATAATTATTAATCAATGGATAACAATTTTATTAATATATTTTAATTGTTAAACCTATTGTATTAAATATAAAAACGAGTGGAACAAAAACTTGTCAAATAATTATCCTAATAAAATTTGACGTTGTTTTACAGTTAACAGCGATCCTTTTTAATCCGGGTCCTTTTTATTCCGTGAGTACCTCCTCTTTCCGCTTCCTCATTGACTGAACCCATACATTACGTACAGTATATCACAATCAAAGCACATATAATTTGAAAGCATTGAAAGCATTGAAAGGTGACATTATTTATGTACACTCCTAAAAAGCATTCATACACACCCACAATATTATCCAATAATAAAGACACACGGAATAAAAGGACCCGGATTAAAAAGGATCGCTGTAATATTATAAGCATGTTAAAATAAATAGAGAAGTTGTAAATTGAATGGTCAGACTTTGATGTGACATGCAATCTATAACAGTCTGGTGATTATTTTGCGGTCAAACTCGCATATAATGAAAAGTTGATTTATAGGCGGCTAATAATTGAGTGGTTGTGTATTTTGAAACTCTTTTAGTGAACAGTATCTGAGGTAACGTTGAGAACCGCTTCAGACAAACACTAAAACTATTTAATGTTTAGAGAATGCATTCATTCATACGATAATTGGCGACAATTATAGACCCTTTGATGCATTCGATGCCATAATGTATAATACATTTATGAAAAACCATTATTCAAACCATGATTTCAACATTTATTTCAAACTCTTTACGTTAGGAACGGATACTCTGTATAAGAATACTGTCATTAGAAATAAAAACTTTTTTAAATTCTACTTTTTGTACACCGATTGACACAAAACTGAATATTAAAATTGTTATTTGATGTAAACTTTATACAGGAATTGTTTAAATAAACCAATTGTTATAAAAATAGAGATATTAACCAAAAATCACTCAAATTTACTAAAACTTATTTTATTAATAAAATCTCTTTTATCGTTGAATTTGACTAAACATTATGTGTTAAATAACATCAGAATTGAGATTTCTTTCATTACAAAATGGATTTTTCAGTCTTAACAATGAGAACTGTCTTCGACTAAACTATCACTTGACTGATCCACTTGTGTTGTAAAACTTGGTCCATCTTAGGCCTGTCGCTGACCGTCGGTTCCAATAACTTTTTGATGATGTCTTTGCAGTCGTTGTGTAGTCTTTCCGGCAGTTTATACCTTTTGGTCAGTTGTCTGCGTCTTTGATGGCGTGTATTGAACGGCAATTTCGTGGTTGACATCACATACAGAATGACTCCAAGACTCCAACAGTCACTCGCCATCGCATCGAAGGGATGGCCGCCCAACAGTTCGGGTGAGACGTAACCAATTGTGCCGCAAGCGGTTTCTGTCAATAGTCGGCGACCCGTTGTGTGCAGATATACAGTGCGGGCGAATCCAAAGTCTGTAATTTTGGCCACTTTTTTGTTGTCAAAAATGAGTACGTTTTCACACTTGAGGTCTCGATGAACAATGCCTTCTGAATGCATGTATTTTAACGCCTCTGCGATTTGTCTGAACATAACCCGGGATTTGGAGTTTTCGAGCGGTCCCTCGTTCTCCTTAAGGATGTCCAAGAGGTCGCCGCCAGTGGCCAACTCCATGACCATAAACATACGGTTCGACACCAGAAATGTCTCAAACACTGTAGCTATGAATCTGTGATTCAGTTTCTTCAGGGCGTAGAGCTCTCGAGGAAGGAATCTCTCCCTATAATCGTTGGACACTTTCGTGCAATCGATGATTTTGACGGCTCTGCTCTCGCCGTTCGCTGTCTTTGCTTTATAGACATTAGCATAAGAGCCACAACTGATACTCCGAGTCTCCAAAGTGAGTCCCCTTGTGGTCAGTGACTGCAGTTCCCGAGCGTTCAGTTTTAAATCTGTCATCAGATTGTCTCTCAATTCAATTCAATACTAAACTCTTCTGATGTCCGGAGAAATCCGATTCAAATAATTTACTGGTTTTTAGTTGAAATTTTAAAATCCAGTTTAAATTAAAATTAATTTATTGTTTAAAACGCGCTATTATTTTGTTAGTAAAATGTAAAATAGCGTTCATTTCTAATTTACTTAATTGTTTAAACAATAAACAAATTAGTGGTAAAACAATAACTTTGTATTCATTATTATTAAAAGTATTATTTTCATGATTCATGATTATGCTTAGAAAGTACTGTACTTTACTTTTATAACATAATACATGTTATTAAATGTTGTAAATCATCATAAAAATTAAATTAACAAAAAAACAAGAATTTGTCAATTGATTGCAATCTAAAATACCATGGTCAGTTATTAACTATACGGTATAAATAGTAGAAATGACATGAAAGTTTGCGAGTGTTGAACAGTATATGAATTAGCAGTAAATAAGTGTTAATCGGATTGAATGAAGCGATGGATTCACTAATAGTTGTGTTTCTATTATAAATACATCAATAAATTGAAGTTTAATTGTGTTTTCAATGCAATCAATGAAACAGTGGTTTCAAATGCAAACTTCAAAGAAGTGTCACAAAAGTGGACGTAATTTATGGCAAATATAGTCTTTTATTTCAATAAACGCCACGTTTTGTTGCGAAGTAAACGTTTGATCACTTGATTTGATCCGCAAGAGTGCCACCAATTGAGATACGATTGTATTGATTGAGTGCCACAACCGATGCCATCGCTGACAAACATGGAGACCAAAGTGAAGCCTTCGTGGGCGGACCAGATGGACGACAATCTGGACGACGGGTTCGACACATTGCCGCCGCCATCCGAGGTGTTGACCGGCGATAGCAAAGTCATCACTGAATACAAGTTGACTGAAAACGGGAAGAAAAGCAAAGTTATCCGCTATTACAAGATCGAGACGCGAAGAGTGCCGCAGAGTATCGCCCGACGCAAGAACTGGAAGAAGTTCGGCAATTCCGTGGACGACGCGCCCGGACCTAATCCCGCCACGACTATCATTTCCGAAGACATTTTCATGCAATTCGTCGGCAACAGAGACGACGACCCCAACAGCGGTATCGACGGCGAAGACGACGCCCTCAAGAAGTTGCAGAGCACTGGCAAAGGGATGGTTCAGTGCAGACACTGCGGAATGGATCACTGGTCCCTCAAGTGTCCGTACAAAGACAAGTTGGGATCGCTTTCACTCAACAAAGACACACCGCCTCCCGAGCCCACTGCGGCCTCCGGTCCGCGCGGATCGGTAAGTGATTGACGCGATTGGGTTGCCATCGATTGTTATGATCTAATGATTGGTTGTGTTGTGACAGATGGACGAGAAGGGAAAACCGGCCAAATATGTGCCGCCGAACATGAGAGAGGGCGGCAATAAGAGGGGCGAAACGATGTCCAACACTCGCAACAAAGACGAGGCCAACACTATTCGGGTGACGAATCTGCCCGAAGAGATTCAGGACCAGGACTTGAAGGACTTGTTCGGTCCGTTCGGACGCGTGACCCGAATATTCTTAGCGAAAGACAAATACACGGGTCAGTCGAAGGGATTCGCGTTCGTCAGCTATGAGCACAGGGACGAAGCGGCCAAAGCCATCAGCGCTGTTCACGGCTACGGTTACGCCAATCTTATATTGAATGTCGAATGGGCTAAACCTTCCAACAATTAAAACTCCTTTTAATTACAATTGGTTTTAAACTATTTTTTAATTAATTCTAATTAAGTTAAACATAAAATCCTAGGTTTTAATGACAACGTATACAACAAATTGTTTATATTTTGAAGCCAAGACTTCTCATACACTCCTTATGCGCTTCAATGAGTTCTTTGCAATTTTCTTCTCCCCTTTCGATAATACTGTTAATGAATTCAATTTAACAATTAATAAACAATTTTCAATCATTCAATTAATTGTACAATTATTTTAATGTTAAAAGTTGTCAATAAAGCAATTATTTCAATACTAGTGAAGACATACCACTCATCTCTGGGTCTCTTTGTCTCAGGACAGGCACAGCAAGGCTTCAACTTCTGGTCGGTATTGGATTTGTTGCCACTTTCGGCGGTACTCTTCGTCTTCACCACTTCGTCAGGCATTGCATCAGAAATATAGCAATTATTAATCAATAATGAGTCCAATAATAATGTGTAGTTTAATGGGATTAATGTGCTGTTAATCTCAAACGGATTATGAGTTATAAATAATGAGTAAATTGTGATTAAAAGTACAATTAATGACAAAACAATTGAAATGAATGGACAAAACAATAGCGCGTCTGAAGTCATGCGCAAAGTCTTACACTTGTATCACATGTTTGTCTCAATGTTTTCATCAAAACTATTAACTTTGTGTAAATTGTGTTTAAAATGTTTGGCAAACAATTGTTACGTAAATGTAATTATCTTAGACTTGTTGGCCATAAAAGACTTTTGTCAACAAACTATGGATTGGTTTACGAAGAATACGGGGATCCGTTGAAAGTGCTCAAGAAGTGTGACATTAGCGACAAGACTGAGCGCCCGCTGACCGACAATGAAGTGTTTGTGTCATATCTGGCGAGTCCTATAAACCCGGCGGACATTAACACAATCCAAGGCGTCTATGCAGTCAAACCCAAACTCCCGGCCATCGGTGGNGACTTTTGTCAACAAACTATGGATTGGTTTACGAAGAATACGGGGATCCGTTGAAAGTGCTCAAGAAGTGTGACATTAGCGACAAGACTGAGCGCCCGCTGACCGACAATGAAGTGTTTGTGTCATATCTGGCGAGTCCTATAAACCCGGCGGACATTAACACAATCCAAGGCGTCTATGCAGTCAAACCCAAACTCCCGGCCATCGGTGGCAACGAAGGAGTGGCTAAAATTGTGTCCGTCGGGTCGGCTGTGACTGCTGTCAAAGTAGGCGATCACGTGATCCCCAGCGCGTCGTCGAGCGGCACGTGGAGGACGTACGCCATTATGGAGGACAAGAATCTCATTGTAATTGATCCCAAGATTGATGTGTTAACGGCCGCTCAATTGACTGTCAATCCGTGTACAGCCTATCGGATGCTCAAGGATTTCGTACCCGTTGCCAAAGGTTTGCATTAAATATGAGATTGCAATCAAAAAATAACATTTTATTAAACGATTAAAAGGCGAAACTGTGATCCAAAACGGGGCCAACAGTGCTGTCGGCGTGAATGTGATTCAATTGGCCAAAGAGTGGGGAATCAATACGATTAATGTTGTGCGACAACGACCCGATGTCGACAAACTCAAGCACGAGTTGCTCGCTTTGGGCGCCACTCATGTGATCACTGAAGAGGAATTGCGACAGAAAGAGGTGATGGAAGGAGTGTTGAAAGCGGTGCCGAAGCCTCGCCTGGCGTTGAACTGTGTGGGCGGCAAAAACGCGACCGACTGTTTGCGTGTCTTGGACTCCAGGGGAGCGATGGTTACCTACGGAGGAATGTCTAAACAGCCACTCATTATACCCACCGGTTCTCTCATATTTAAAGACCAGCGCTTTTTCGGCTATTGGATGACTCGTTGGTATGCAGACAACGCCCGCAACAACGAAAGGTCCAAAATGATGGCTCATTTGTGTTCTCTTCTAATTAATGGCAAACTAAAGGCGCCTAAGAGTGAAGCCATCCCTTTGGATGACTTTAAACAAGCGATTGAAAAAATGTTGACCGGATTTTTGGGCACTAAATATATATTTGTTATGAAATGATTATTTTTTACAATAAATTTAGATATTTTGTAGATTATGTAAACTTATTTGTTTGAAATTATATTTGTATAGGAGTTGTAAATAAAACAACATTTATAATTAATAAATGAATTGATTATTAGTAATAATTTATTACTTTCTTTGAATTAATAATTGATTGTGAAGTGAAGTGTGATTTATATGAAATTCTTAATGATATTCTTTTATATTGTTTAATTAATGAGTTGTATCTCAAGGACTTTATTATTCTGTAATATAATTGTTAATATATAATTTTAATGAGTTTTGACACGAATTGCTTTTAATTCAAATGATTTCTAATGAATTTCCAATGAAATGCAATCGATTTAATTGTTGACCAAAAATGAATTTCATTAAAATATTTCCTCAAAAGACACCTTTAAACTAATTGACGTTTTGTTGAATTACAGCAGTTGTTATATCTCTGCAAATACCTAAACAGTGAGTTTGAAATAAATTATTTTAAATAATATACAATATAATCGTTTGATTTAACAAATATTAAAATGAATATTCAAAAGATTAAAACAACTTTTATATTATTTATTGTACTTTTGACTATTTCTCTCGCATATTCTCAGGTAAATATAAATTAAATACGGTATTATTAAAACAATAGATTTATTTAGCGTTTTATAACACCAAATATTTTATAATTTAAATGTCAAGAATGCGGGCGTATGTGTTATGCGGGGTATTTGTGGTGACACAGAATTGGGTACAATTCCCTGCACTAACAAAAGTGATACAATCATTTTGAACCAAAAGACTCAAATGAATTTGCAATCGTTATCACTATTTGAGGCCATGTGTCCGCACATACACGAGAAGGCAGATCCGGAAGTGTGTTGCAATGAATTTCAATTGGAAAGTATGTTCATAACGGTCTACAACTTAGCGCACTTGGGTTTCAATCACTGTCCCTCTTGTCTGAAGAATATCGAGAAAATGTTTTGCGAAATGAATTGCTCTCCAAAACAAAACAAATTCATAAAAGTTAAAAAACTTAAAAGAAGTGAATCGGGAGAGCATTTTGCCACTGAAATTGATTATTACATCACAGAATCGTTTGCCAAAGGAATCTACGATTCGTGTAAACACGTCAGGAATTTTGAGGGGAAAGTGATTGACTCGATGTGTGGCGGCCTTAAAGGCGAAGAATGTACGGCAAAGGATTGGTTCAATTATTTGGGTCGTTATATAGAAGAAGACGGCATTTCTCCGTTTAAAGTTAATTTTCATTTAATTAATGGTGTGACAAAAGTCGGTAGCGATTCGTTTGAGTCCTTAGACGCCACTTATGTTAAGTGCTTTGAAAATGTTAATCAAAATCTAAGCGCTTGCGATTGCCATCACTGTCCGGATTCGTGTCCACACAATCACAAGAAAAGAGATATTGAATCCAAAAGAGTTAAACGAGAATCTAATAAATGTTTGATGAAAGGTATTTGTGATGAAACGGCGTTTGGAGTGATTCCGTGTGCGAGCGATGAAAAGCCCACTCCTATCGCAGATCCAATTGCTTTGAAAGAATTGCGTCAAATGTGTCCGCATTTGGTAACCAGTGATACGCAAAGTGTTTGCTGTACTGAAGAACAAGTAATCCGTTTGAACCAAACCTTTGAGATGATAGCGATATTCCTGAAGGAATGTCCGGCTTGTGTTCGCAATTTGGAGAAAATCTTTTGCCATCTGTCTTGTGGTAGAGATCAACAAGAATTTATAAAAATTACTAAAACATCGCCGAATGAATCGGGAAAACAAATGGTAACTGAATTGCAATACTTTGTAAACGATGATTGGGCTAAAGGTATATATGAATCGTGTAAAGGAGTGCATCGCTTGGGATCTAATGTTCTCAATCACTATTGCAAACCATATAAGGGAGAGGATTGTGATCACCAAAAATTTCTTCAATACATTGGCGGCAATGCTGAACACTTTGGACACAGTCCTTATGATATGTAAGTTTTCGAGTGAGTGAGTGAGTGAGTGAGTGAGTGAGAGAGAGAGAGAGAGAGAGAGAGTAAACGGCTGTTCCGGAAATGTAAGGCATTTCCTCGTTCTCGTAATTCTGCCGTAAAAACACCCGAACTATTGAGAGAGAGAGAGAGAGAGAGAGAGAGAGAGACTGGGATAATAAATATTTTCCAAGTACTGAACTTTCAAAAATATTATATTTGTTAAATTGTCTATTGAATAAAATATTTACTTTAAATTTCAGAAACTTTATTTTTACAAACGACGAGATCGTAGAATCGGACGGAATTCAATACAAACCAACGAAACAAACATTTTATAAATGTTCGGATAAGACACATACGGGCGAAGACAAGTGTCCGTGTGTTCATTGCGACCAATCGTGTTCTGCCGGAGAAACCAAAATTATAAACAAACAAATGCCTAAATATATTGGAAAGAAGATTAAGAGAGAAACGAATGCACAAGAGTTGGATATTTTGACCACATATTTGGATGATATCGCACACAAGTTCTCTGATTATGAAGCATATGCTGATAATGAGTATTGCATTTTTGACACCACGTGCAGGTTTGACATTTCATACCACATTCAACTTATTAAACATTTTGATTTATACGGTTTTAAACAATATAATCTTTATTTTATTAATCTATATCCAGATATAACTCTCGTTATGCAAATATTCCGTGCCTTAAGATTAAGAAACCAATTCCATTGACGGATCCAAATACTTTGCGTATTTACAAAGACATTTGTCCACAACTGGCCGACAGTGATATACCGAACACATGCTGTGATTCCGATTTTATTCTTCAAATGAATTCAATATTCAAATTACTGGATAAGTTTGGTCTCTCTGAGTGTCCCTCTTGTATGCATAACTTGAGGCAAATTCTGTGTCAATTCACGTGTTCTCCGAAACAGAATAAAATGATTAGAGTATTGAACGCAACAAAAGTCAATTCTCATGTATTGATAGAGCACTTGGAATACTATATAAACGCCGATTTCGCACAGAATTTGTACGATTCGTGTAAATCTATACATAACGGCACTCTTATGGACGCTATGTGTGGCAAATGGGGACAAATCAAGAAATGCTCGGCAAAGAAATGGCTCGACTTTATGGGACTATCGACTAAAAGTGGCGGATATTCGCCCTTTCAGATGGATATTAAATTAAGTAATGCTAAAAGTATTAATATAAATGGTGTCGATATCTACCCAATGAATGAGAAGTCGTATTCCTGTACAGAATCTCCCGGTCCTGACAGTCACTCGTGTCCGTGCGCTCACTGTCGAGAGGCCTGTCCTTAATTACTATTAATATCAATTCTATCATTTGTTATGCAATAATTCAATAATAAACAGTTTATTGTTATTTTACTATTAAATCAAATGTGCTAATCATTTTTATATAATCTATAACTTATAGTAGTTAAAAATTTAATTAATTATAGCTAATTACAGTATTATAATGCAAATAAAGTATAGTAGTGCAAATAATGTAGTTACCATACTATTATACTTTGTTCGAAAGACATGTGTTCAAAAAAATTAACTTAAATTAAATATCAAGAGACGCAAAATTCTGCAAAGATTTTTGTTAAACTATCCTACAATAATTTTTTTAATTGTAATTTGAATACTTTCTACAAAAATAGATTTTTTCAATGAAAAGACAATATCTTGTCATTAATTTACAGTCAAAATCAAATTGATATCAATTACCACTCATTAAATTAAGTAATAGATTAGAGATGGACCAAGGATTCAAAAAGACACAAATTAGACATTATCATGTAGACAATGTTTATATCATGATGCATTTGCCACAGCAGCCCGCAGAATGCAATGGTTTTTCAAAAACAAGGTTGTAAGGTTGGTAAATTACATAATTTTTTTTGAAGCCATGTAATTTACATTGTAAAATACAAAAATGCATGTAATATACTGTACATGTCATATTACTTACTATGGGGAAAAAATTAACATATTTTAAAACTAAAAATTAAACATTTTTATTAAAATTATAATATTAATTATACATTTATAACACGTTAATAACTAATTGTTTCACATTCGACAATTTATTCAATTGTTTCAAAAGTTGAAAATCTAAAAATTAATATAAAAATTTAAAATATTTGCAATATTTATACTATTTTAATTAAAATGTTGTTACCATTATGATCTTCGTTTCCACTATCATTTGTTGAATTAAATTGTATAGTTAAAAGTTTTTCAACATTTGAATCACTAATTCGATTTTTAAATTTAGTTTGAATTCGTGACTCATTTGAAAAACTTCTCTAAATTGGTGCACTTGACATCGGAACTGTAAATATTGCTATATTAGCCAAAACAGATTCCTCTTGATTGTCTAAAAATCCTTTTCACCAGAGATAAGGATTTTTTTATAATAGTATCCCACCATACGAATTGATTTTTATGAACGCCTAAAAGTTATATTTAAATTATGAAACCCCTTCTAAAAAATAACATTTGCAGTAATTTTTACCTAATTTTGCTCTAAAATTCTGGAATGATCCTAGAACAGACTCTTTAATATTAAATGCTCTTAAATAAATGTCAAGAAACCAATAAATGCCATCTTTTCTTTGACTGTTAGACAATATTTGGCCTCTATATCTTGGATCCAAAATATTTGCAAAAAAAATGAAACAGTGTTTCCATAAATTCTCTGCGGTGTTGTAGAATATCATAAATTTAAAACAATTTTAAATATTTTTAGTCAATATGTATCTGTACTTTAATACACGTATAAATAATATAAAGGGCATAACTAATGACAAAGGGCTGACAAAAAATGTCATTTCAGAGAATTTGAAAGGAATCTTAATTTTATAATTAAATTAATACCTAAATTAATAATTTGCTCATTAATTAAAGTAAACAAATATTCAGGTATGTGAGCTTCGGATTCCGTATTATAGCTTCTAATAAGGAATGGCTTTGGTGTGCAAAATAACATTAATAATCGGATTGTGATTAATGTTTTAACAGCTATCCATTTGAAGTGTTAATTCACTGCTTTCTTTGATCGCGATGTCTGTCATTGTTTGACCTATATTGATGTAAAGCCAAATATTAAATATTTGTCTCAAATCAGAGGGAAGTCCTATCGTTTTATAATCTCTATTGAATTTTATATACTATCGCATGCAATCATATGTCATTTGTAGTGAAGATGTGCAATACTATAAAATTATACTTAGATGAAATTGCATATGATTTTGAAAAACATGATTTTACTTAAATTGACTTAATATTGCATGCATTTATAACCTAGGTATTACGGTACCTTATTGTATTCCAAGTCCAGATATTTATCAGACAACGATCTCCGCGAAATTAGCTGATAGGATAGTCTTAATTTATCATCAAATTATGAAAATCATTGTTTTTAATTAATCTAAATGACCTTAAGATTAATTTAGCCACTAATGCGTCGATTTCTTGTTTGTCGTTATTAGACATGACATCAATAAAACCCATTAGTGATGTCGATGATGACATTGATAATGATGACTCTGGTCTATCATCTGATTTTGTTTATAATAGTTAACTTTTTTATGAAATTAAATTAATTATAATTATCAATACCTTTTTAGTTTAAAAGAGTGCTTTTATTTTATTTAGCACTTCTTGACACCCTTTTCCCAAATGATATTTCATACGAGTTGCTGATTCACACATAGAATTTTGACAAAAATTTTGCTTTTGTAAAATAGTTCCAAACTATTTGGCTTTGATTTTTTCATTTTAATCAATGATTATTTTTACAATAATATACAAACAATTATGCAAACATTTTACACATGTTTTGTAAAATATTTTAAAAATTTGACCAATAGATGTCGCAGTATACGTTTGTATTTTACAAAATGAAAAATCTGTGTATGTAAAATACATAGTAAATTACATACGTAAAATACATGGTTTGTCATATTGCCAACCCTATGTTTCACACAGTGCTTGGGCTAATCGCCAGTACTGCATGCTATACGCCGTATACGCGATAACAAAAATGGCCACAACTGGTGATGCATATGGCCATAAGCCGGAGATATTTAAATTATGTTTTTATTTGGCCTAATCTACAGTACAACGCGATTAATGTCAATTCGGACAACTTTAAGAGCTACCGTTTTCTTGTCAGAATACATAACACAATTTGAAAGAATTTGGAAGAATTTTTACTAAATTTAAAATATTAAGAAAACAACTTTTAAAATTGGTTTAAATGATGAATCTTCCAATTAATATGGTTATATATTTCAGCTAATTACAGTTATAAATATATAACTGAAAAACATGGGAAAATTTCACATTTCTATAAAAAGCATGAATGAAAGTTTCATTTGAATATTTTGCTGAAATTTTCATTATTACCCGTATATCTATTAATTCATTACTTCACACATATTGACTTTTAATTAAAATTAATTTATTCAATGAATAACGAAAATGAAATACCATTTATAATAAATATTTGCACTCAATCAACAACAAAACATTATAAATTACAATTAATAAATAAGTTGCAAACCAATAGTAATATAGTGTTAGTCAACAAATAATATATTCTTAAACTGTTTACACGTCAACGCATTGACGGTATCGGAGGCTTCGATAAGATTAGCGTTTTTATGGTTTAACATCGAGTATAGCGTCCTATCGTCCGAGTGATGGACTATAAGCCACGAGTCGTTCGTTGTTTTGCTGATTATTTCGCACACATTATGGCATTGAATGACAGAATTGAGATCAGAATCGATGTCTACCACGAGTTTAACGAATTCAGATTCACTGATCTTTCTTTGATCAAAAAGTGTGGATATGTTTGCTTTGAACGCATTATTACTCGCATTAAAGTAAACAAATTTAAACGTGTCTTTAGTTTGGGAATCGGCGCTCATATTGTTGTTCATAACATTAATTTTTATGGCCATTTCGGCCAATTTGGCCGTCAGTCCCACAATACGCGTACACATGAGTGCCGAGCATTTGGCCAACACTTGTTGGCACAGCTGGTCGTCGGCGGCGCTCAACAGCAGCACAAAAGTGGCCCCATTTATAGAGCGGTATAAATTCATTTCGTAACACTTGTCACCGCATTCTTCGAGGTATATATTGACGCCTTTGCGAATCCAACGAGTCTTCGCCGACTGCTGTCCATTGATCTCTTCGCATACGGCCTCAGGAATGATGACATTCACTAAATAATTGTATAGCGTTTTGGTGTCGTTCAGCGGTAGAGAACTGCTCACCAATTGGTCGTTGTATAAGAACATTGTGTATCGGATCAGCTCTGAGTCAATACACTTGACGTGATTAACGAAACTCTGTGTCGACATAAACGTAATCGAGTCTAACGGCAGGTATTGTATCGCAGAATAGACTTCAATCAGATTTATTGGCGACAACTTTAACGATGGGATCACGTTCTCGAAGAAGGCGTTGCATACGCTCAAGAACTGGTCCCTGTCTTCGTTGACACTTTGCCACAGTTTATCGATGCGTCCGTTAATGAGTCGGAAGTGTTGGTAAATGTTGTGCAAAATTAATTTCATAAACGAGTCGTTAATCTCTTCGTTATGGTATTCAATGATCTGATTGTTTGAGTCTTCGTTAGTCTTGAGCACAGAATAGGGAACCGATAGTGAGATCACTGACCAGTAATTGGCTTCCATTCGGTAAAAGATGAGCCGATTTTTGATGCCATGAAGCGATTCGCACTCGTCTTCGGCCCCGTCTTTGATGAAGTTGTTGGCAAAAGTGATGACCGCTTCCGCGAGTCCGCACTCACTCACCATCTCATCGATGGTCACATCCGGACAATCCTTTTTGTAATAGTAGATCACTTTCAAGTGTTCGCTGTCCTCTTCGGCGCCCCATTCGGTGTTGAAGACAAAGTATTTGTGCAGATTTGACGGGTATTTGATCCGGTTTTGAGACATTGTCTTCACATGTATTGCCACACTTTGGTCTCAACAACACATTAGTGTCGGACGTAATGTCTGTACAGACAGACAGTCAGTGCCTGACATTCACTCGACGCGTGGTTTTACAGTAAAACTTTTACTCCCAAAACATTGAAATGTGTTTTGAATTAAAAGTGATTTTCAGTGAAATTGTCACTAATTTTGTGTTGAATTGAGTTTCGAAACCATTATTACAAGCAATGAGTGAATCGTTTTCATCGTTAGGATTAAGCAATTGGTTATTGAAGGCATTGAAGACATTAGGCATACAAAAGCCGTCTTCAATCCAATGCTCGACAATTCCGTTGATATTATCGCCGCAACGGTTGGATGTGTTTGGATGCAGTCGTACGGGAAGTGGTAAGACATTGGCCTTCGTGTTGCCCATCATTGAGCGGTTGGTTCGCGACCCGAGACCGTACTTCGCGCTCATCCTATCGCCGACCCGAGAGTTGGCCCATCAGATCAACCAAATGATCACCGCTTTGACGGCCACCACATATGCCCTCAAGAGTCTGCTCGTCATCGGCGGCGAAGACCACGAGGAGGCGCAGGGCCTGTGGTTCGGCAAACCTAATATAGTGGTCGCCACTCCCGGACGACTCGTCGACCAGTTATATAACCGCAACTTTCTTGACCTCTGCGGACAAAAAGAGTCCATCAAATTTGATTGTCTAGTTCTCGATGAAGCGGATCAACTCATTAGTTCCGGTTTTGCCCAACAAATCAAAGACATTCTCACATTTTTAGACGATATGTCGGCCAATAGTAACCACAGACGACAGACACTGCTCTTCAGCGCCACATTAACCACCGCTTTAGAGGAATTACAGAAATTGATCGCAAAGAAGGCGTCGGGCGAACAGCCAGTTGTCGTGAATCTGTTGCCAACCATTGATGACGTGAAGAGAGAGTTGTCTACAAACGAAGACCTCGACCAGAGATATATTCTGTGTCCAGAATCTGTGAAATTTGTGTATTTGATTGAATGCATTCTCGACCTCTCGTTCCGACAAATGATTATATTCTGTGCGACAAAAAAAGAGGCGAAACTAATCCATAAAGTGCTCATCTCTTTAGGCTTTGACGGAACGGATTTCGATTTGAATCCCGTTATACTGAACGCCGATATGAAACAACACCTCAGGTTCGCAGCGCTCGAGAAGTTTCGTTCATTGAAATCGAAAATTCTGGTGACAACTGATTTAGCGAATCGTGGACTCGATTTACCACAAGTGGATCTCATTATTAACTACAACTGTCCCAAATCGGCCACTGTTTACGTGCATAGAGTCGGCAGGACTTGCCGTAAACCAGACTTCAAAACTGGGCCAAAGAGTCGACAAATTACTGATAAATCTATTACTCCTGACACTGAAGAAGAATTTGCCAAAAGTACTAAAAGGTTTAAAAGGGATTCAAATAATCACTTGAAGCCTAAGACGAATCAAACGGCTTTGGCGTCGAAATATTTAGGCAAATCCATTACATTTGTCACTCAATACGACATCGAATTACTCAAGAGTATCGAGAGTTTCATTGAGATTAAAATGGAGGCCGAAGTGGTCGACGAGAAGAGTGTTTTACATATCATGAAACAGGTGTCGGTTGCCATCAAAGACGCTGAGATCAGACTTCAACACGAAGAGCAAGAGTCCAAACACATTGAGAATAAAAATAGATACAAACAAAACAGACGACAAATTAAATAAACAGTTCCCACAAAGAGAAACACTTTTAACTTATAAATAAATGTATTNTAAGTAATTGATTTAAGTATGTGTTCAACAAATGTCTTCGCTGTTCAACAAAGTCTTTATTCATATTATTAAAAGTTCTCTTTCCTGGAAGTGTTAGACTCTTTAGATTTGGGAATTTGTCGGTAATATTCTGATGGAATGCATGGAAATCCGAATAACGCCTCAAAATAACCCACTTTTCTTCGGGCGAATTAATAGTCTTTTTGGTAACATTTATGACATAAGCGGCGTAAGCGTTGCCGAACTCTCTAACCACTCCTGTTTTGATTATCTCAGCGCTCACTTCAATGTCTTCGCTCACGTGTAATGTGGTGTTAGAAGTGCTGTAACCAGAAGTGGTTGAGTTTGAATTACCCGAACCATCACTTGTGATGGAAATGTTATCAGATGTGAGAATAATGTCTTCTAATGAATTAAGACTATCGCAGTCGTCAAATGATATCGAATTGCTGTCGTTGTCATCACATTTGGCCAAAGGTTCACAATCTTCTTCTTGTTTGCCGTTGAGATCTTTGAGTAAATCGAGTTCTGCTAATAGTTTCACGTAATGATTGCTTTTCTTGAAGGCGGCGAAGAACTGTTCGCTATTCATCATAATGTCATAGACCTGATGGTGTGCCGAATCAAACCAATTCTCCGACAACTTTTCGGTCATAATTCTCGAGTGAATGTTCTTACAAATGGTTTCCTCTAACTTCAGTTTATGCGAAGCCTTTTCAGACAGATATGTGTCGTAGATATTAATGGCCGCCTCTTTAAGACTATCCAAATGCACGCAATTGTTTGCATTGCATTTTCCCATTTTTATCAGTTCTGCTTCTGATATCTGTTGTTCAGCAGACACTTTGAATCCCTCGACATTCAAATAGAAGTAGACGTATCCCTGAGCGCCGATACTCGACATAAATTCAATGAAATATGAGAGACCGATATTGTTCTTCAACACCACATCAAATGGCAGTGAAAATAGTTTGGTATTATTCCAATCAATTTGCTATAAACACATCAACATTTATATTATTGTCCACAACTATCTCATACAAAGCACTAGAAGTACATACCGTTGGAATGCCATTCGAGTCGGAGTCAAAACTTCCCTCATTTATAGACTTGAGACGACTTTCAATTAAATCTTTCACAAATAAAAGACTGCTTAACTGCTGCTTAATTTCAAAGTCATCGTCTCCTCCGGTGTCCTAACGGTTAGAAATAATATTAATGTTATATAAACTCAAATCTAATGCATTAATACATACTTTAGAGCGAAGGAAAGCAATTTCGTGACAAACCATTTGTCTGACGGCCTCTAACTCTTCGCTTTTGTCACATAAACGCAAAACATTAATGAATGTATCACTTGATACCAAATATGATTTGTAGAGCCAGACAATGGTCTGATTTATAAAATCTGGATCGGAAAGCATTTCCAGTAATGGATATAAACACGACTTGACTACGAGTCCCTACAAATGAATAAGTATTTCATAAAATTCAATCATTAAAATAATTATTTGATTAACGCTTACTCTAAATAATGAACGAAAGGTTCGACTTTTGAAGCAATCGATTGGAAGTAATAAATATTGAAGAATATCACAGATTTGGGATAAATAGTCAGTACAGCTCTCATTGTCTTCGCTGACTAAATCGCGGCAAATGTTTCGCTCCATCGAGACCTCAAAGTCAAAGAATATTGACAACAGATTCGCGTTCGGGTCTTAAGTATCAAATCAAATAACTCTTTATTACTATTCAAATTTAAAAAAATAAATCTTTTTAAATACCATTAACTTTAAGCTCTTTGAGTTTGTTTTGCGCCAAACGATATAGTCTTAAATGGGAGGCAAAATCGTCGACCAATTTTGTTGTCATATAAGACACGATATCCATTGAATGAAGCCTTTAATACAAAATCAATGTTATTATCAAATGTCTAATAAAATACTTATAATGAATACCTTTGTGTCACTGATTTGATGGCCATCTGAGCGATGGAATAGAGATGAAGAGTGAACTCTTGGTTTGGAGACACATAAGCATACCATGAGTTTATGTAATCGCGAAACGCGAGTCTCAAGACATCGTTCAACTGATCATCAATAAGAGGATCACCGGTGAAGACATCGGCCTTTGGCAGAGTGTGAACAACTGGATTGTCATTCAAATTATCCAAAAACTCTTTCCATTCCTTATTTGAGTCAATCATTTGAATTGAATGACAAGACCTGAAGATCTGGTAATCTTTTTCCACTGACGAGTGGTTCAGATATAGAGATGACAGACATCTGAAAGAGGGAACCAATGGTTTTATGAATGGTGTATAAGAAGTGAAATCAAATCAAATTCAAACCCAATTATAACGAAGAGAAGGGAAGAGAAGACAATGAGAAGTAATTGTAACGAAAAAGTAGTGATAAATAAAACAATTGTCAAAACAATCCAAATATAATCCGAGACTTTCATCGTTCATATCATTAACGAATGGATTCAACAATTATTTAATTATTATTACAATTATTACAATGAATACAAAATCACATCAATTTAGTGATCAGTTGTTTACAAATCATAACTAATATAAATATAATTGATATATATTTGGCACTTAATTATAGCATTGAATAGATTTAAACGACTATTAAATTAGTATATTGTATAATAAGTCACACTCTTATCGATTCAGGTGTTCATTGAATCGCATAATAATTACTCCAATAATGAATGCATTTGTAATTCAATACCTATTAATACATTACATATTTTGTTATGTTTTAACTTTTTAATCGCTTGACAAACACTAACAGTAAATAATGCAAACATTGAGTGCACACAACAGTATTGGTAGGAATTTGAATGCATTTCACAATTCATTGCAAACACTGCGCCCACACTCTCACACCCTATCCTCACAACTAATAATTTACACATTCATTGAGAAAAACCTTTAAATTTGCTTATTTTGCTTCAAAGCGATTGAGTTCTCATAAGGAAAATCAAAGTTCACTTCAAAGACATTTGGTTTTTAATGTAAATGTCACATACATTCAAATGACAGGTGTTTTTAATTAATTACCAATATTTTAAACGCAACCAAAAAATCTTATTCTGTCGTAACAATAATTTATTATCGTAAAACATAAATGTCAAAAGTTGTTATAATAATTACTTTATTAATTCAATTTAATTCAAACAAAATAAAAATATTTTTTAATACATTTATTTATAAGTTAAAAGTGTTTCTCTTTGTGGGAACTGTTTATTTAATTTGTCGTCTGTTTTGTTTGTATCTATTTTTATTCTCAATGTGTTTGGACTCTTGCTCTTCGTGTTGAAGTC